TTAGAAGTCGAAATTTTCATGCCTTGTATTTAGCAGTTGAAAGTTTCGTGTTTGCATGAGATCAGCCTAGCCACACCGTCTGAAATTATTGAAGTCTTCACTGACCAAAGAACAACCAAAGAACAACCATGTAAAAGAATTAAATAGGCATTTTCTTGAATGAAAGTCATTTATAGGCATGTTTGGTTTCCCAGTACTGAAAGCTCCGGGTGTTCGTGACTGCAGTCGTCAAAGTCGAGGTTGTTATGAAATCCCGCACATCTTTTGTTTTGAGTTTTGTTTTCTCTGATAATAAAAAAAATTATTGAACGGACTAAAATTTTATTTCCTGGTTTTAGTGTTGATGATAATGATGACGTCTTTATTTTGGTTTCTTTCATAAGTATTGTTTTTTGTTTCTTAGTTGTCGCCTTCTCCCAAATTAACTTATGCCAAACCAGTAACATGCAAGAAGGCCAGTAAAAACAAATTCGTCTTGTCGAGCGCTCTCGACCTGCAAACTTCAAACATCATTTTCACCGTTGGTACTCATCAACACAATATGTGGTTTGAAAAAAAAAACAATTTTTACCAGAGGATAGTTAACAGGGTGAGGAGGATGCAATGTACCAAGCAAAGCTGGAAAAGCAACAGCTCATAGAAGTACCCCTAAAAACCAGATAACTTTTTATGGGAAATTAACGCTCCTTGAAATTAAAGTATAGGAAATCAATTCGATTTAAATTAATGTGCATTTTGTGGAAAGCAGCTTTCAAATAAAGAAAATTTACGCGAAAGAGAGGGTAACATTTCAAGATGAAGGAAATTATTGGGACGCTCAAAGAGAAACAAAACTTGTTGAGACAGTAGAAACAAAGTTAAACGTATAACGGGGGGTGACAACTCTAACAAAGGCTGTTTGGGCAGTCCAATGAATAACTTTATGTCCTCCCGGCAATTTTGTCGACCCTCCCGAATTTTTCGGTGGCATTCCCCATAAATGTTTAACTTCCCAAAATTGTTTTTTAATTATGTAACTTGTTAATTATCTTAACTTAGTTATTTTCTCGTTTAGAGGGTATCATGTTAACACAGAAAGACTGTCAAACTTTTTAAGTATACAAAATCGTGTTTTTTTGTTTTTGAATCACTGATGAATCAGGCGAGCAGGGAAAGGGCCAACCACTAGGGGGGTCTGGGGGCATGCTCCGCCAGAAAATTTTGAAATCTTGGTGCTCTGAAACGCCATTTCTAGTGTTCTGAGAGGACAAATTCTGTCCAAAATGTTCTCTAAATCAATTGTCCTTTTTCCTTTTTTTTATTGGCGTGACTTCGCGTAGAAGTACTCAATTTTATTTTATACAAGTTGTGCGGTTTTTGAAATTGCTCTGGATATCACTTTAGTATACTCTGTGTGGTGTCGTTGTATGAGTATCATAAGAATTCATTTGAAAATTTCAGAACAACTGTCCAAATCTGAAATTTTCCTATCCCGAACGCATATTGATCGGGATTCGGAATTTTCGAGCAAATTCGGAGGACCCCGACGAGATCAGGATGATTAAAGAGTCTTCACAGACATACTACTTTTTATGGCCTCATTTGTGTTTAACAAGGTTAAATGAGTTTCGTTTTTTTCTTACATACTTCTTACGTACTTCTTTCAAGATTTCCAGTATGCAATCAGTGGAATGTGCTCTTAAAACTCTTTAACGTGCAGCGTAAAAATACCCCTGAACTAATGAATGATGGGATCTGGTGTGAACTGATAGTATGTGCCTTGCACCGGTACGGTTCTTGTGTCAATCCACTGGGGACTGCATGTGGACAATCGCACTCGAACTTCATGCTATTTTAGTTGGAAACGTTGCTGATTGGTCTTTTCATATCATGGAGAGTTCAGCCGTTTTCAAGTGTCAAAATACATAGAATACAGCGCATACGCTGGGTGCATATCACTGTATATATATTGTTTGATAACATGTAATATCAAATCTTTGCTCAATGTCCCGAAAATATCTCATATTTCCCGAAAAATTTCCCAGGTTTCCCGATTCCCGGCAAAATCTCCAGATTCCCGGAATAAATTTGTTTTTCTCCCGAAACAGCCCTTGTTAGAGCTGTCACCCCCCGTCGTATAATCTAAAATAGGAACTTTGTTCGTGGTACTTTTCCTAACTGTGCGAAGGGGGTTAAGCAAAGAAACCTCCCCACTTTGAGGGTTCTTCACAGATTTACTAATACCGGTGGATCTCCACCCTGATAAAATACTCCTCTTTCTTAGGTGTCAAGAATGTCACAAGTATATCCAAGATAATATAATGGAAATTAAGGTCGCGGAAATTAACGCTCCACTTAATTAACGCCACGGAAATTGACATATCAAGAAATTAACACAACTTAAATTAATGCGAATTTTGGAAAATCACGCTAATTTCATGAAGTGTTAATTTCCTATATAATAATATGGTATCACTCATGACCAGCATTTTAACATAACTTAATTTCCACTTATATGTATATGAGAAGCCCTAATAGATTGTACAGGAGTCACTATCTGAATGCTTTCCAAATGAATGTCAACAGAAATTGCTCAAAGAGATGTTAGCTGAAGAAGATTTGGTCAGATCAGAGGAAGTGGATTAAGGCAAGAAGGTATGAATCAACAATAAATTAGATGTTGCCTAACTGAATGTGGTTTTTGCATTAGTACTTACCGAGAGCTTGATTTTTCCATATGATATCACAAAAACCAAATCAGACAAATTATATTAGTATGCATTGTTTTAAAGAAAATTTGGACAAATGGGCTGTTGCATGGAACACAGTTACTTATTGTCCAAAATATACACTTTATTCAAGTGTCAAGGTATTTAGCACGAAAGTGCTATTTGGGGACACTATTTTTACGTCTCCAGCTGGAGCCAAGACCGCCATTTTCGTGGTCATCTGAGCCACGCGTAGGCCTAGCTGCCTGCAGGGCAAAGGGAGTACCTTCATTTCTCAGTTATTTTAAGACCCTGAGTGTCGGTCCGGCCCTAGGAATCGAACCCACGACCTCCTGCTCTGCGGTCAAACGCTCTACGGACTGAGCCAATCCTTTTGCAAACAGAAAGAACAGAAACGCTATTGGAAATCAAGCATTTCACACCCAGCCTATAGATTATTTACTTACCTGCTTGTAGAATAGCGAATTATCTGTAGGGTGCTCTGATTTCCAGACTTAACTATTGGATTTGGCCAATGAGAAGACAGGGATTGCCTTTTTTTAAATGCTTTCGAAAGTAACATACTGTTGAAATTAAAATTAGGAATACTTATTCGCTGGCTGTGATATGCACATGACCCCGTAAAATACTTTACAGTTTATTATGAAGGCCTTTCCAAAGTGTTTTGAGCTTTCCTCATTGAAAACGTCTTTGCAAGGGAATAGAAAAGTTAACAGTGAAAAGCTAATAGGGTGTCAACTATTCCCTGTTTCTCAGGGGAATCTTAAATATGTTAATTTAATTTTTTTAATTTTTTAATATAAATTTTTCTTCCCATTTAAATTTTCTTTCAGTGATCCCTCTTCTATTAGCTAATTCTTAGACAGAGCTACATGTACTTTCTGTTATTCATAAGGTGGCAATAAGAAGTCGTTTTGTTTCTTTTTGTAACAGATATGAAAGTCTGATGGGAACTGTGGCTAAGAAATTCTCAACAAAAAGAAAACGTTCATCAGTAGGTTTTAATTTGACGCAGAAAGTCCTGCTCCCCATCAGCCGTCAAAGAAAACACAGAGAGGCTTTATAAAACCAAGGGAATAAAAGATGTAGTTTGAGCAAGAATAAAGGTGAGTAGTTTTTTTGATATTAATGAACAGTGTATTTATTTAATAGTTAATTTATATTTTATATTTTATTTATATTTTCCACTTATTACATTTCAAATATTCTACAAGTAGTGTTCTTGTTTTTAGCAGTTTTTCAAACAAACTAATTAAAAAGGTGCAAAGAATTAGAGTTTGATTATAGAATGATTTCATTAATTAATTTAAAAGGGTAACCATTTGTCATGAACATGGATTACTGATGTTTACTTAAAATTGTTATTATTGTTAGTCATAACATTTTAGTACATTAAAAATTCGTTTGAAACTAAAATTGAATGGTGCATGGTCTGGATGGTGTACTCATGGGTGTTGGTGAAATAACACTCTTCTGTCAAAATAATTTTAATTACTCGAGCGAACTTATCTGCTAGAGGGAAAAATTATATAGTCGATTCGTAATGTTCAGAAACTCATTAAAACTCAGTGTTGGGAAATGCAAAAGAAGTAAGTGTTAACTGATGTAGTGTTATAAAATCTAATTAAAATACTGCCCTCCTATTTTCTGGGGAAAGGTAATAAGAATATTTGCAAGGATTATACGACAGCGTTCAAGGAACTCGAAGTTCTTGTTTTGTCTGACATTTTTAGTCACTCGATCGGCTGTATCTTGTGTTAAAATCTTGATAAAACACTCTTGCTTGTTTTTTAAAAACTTAACACAGTAAAAATCACAGATGAAAAGAGTTTCGACCTCTCTTCAACGTCATTTTCAACTAGATAAAAATTTAAAAGAATTAGCATTATATATGTGTAAGGTCTAAATTATTTAAAGAAGTATAAAAAATAAATAATAAATAATAAATCTCAGAGGGAATTGGGAAAAGGGCCCAATGACCACTCAAAAAACTGGTACCCTTGAGATTCTTCGTTAATGCAATATCAAGAGCCACTCTCCCAGAGTGGTCTTTTAAGACACCTGGCACACGCCCTGTCTCATACAGTAAACCGATGGCTCAAGACGAGAGAAGGGTGCAGGAAAACACTTTGTAAACTTTTTCAGACGCATGTTTCCAAAACTTTATTTCAGTGAAAGGTTAAGTGCAGATGATTATATAAATGGGTGAAGAGTGTGTCTAACGTACAATGACCATTTGATCGAAATTGTATTAACAGTTACTCCTTGTTTACGCGAAGAAAAAAAAATAAACGACAAAATATAATTTCTAAGCAGTTTTCATTTATGTTCGTAAAGTAATATGGGTTTTGTGTTCCGAAATCTAGATTTTGACTAAATCCTTTACCTCCGTTCTAATGAAGACGGAAGGTATACCCCCAACGTTACAACAATTTTATACTAGCCTATAATGATTAAGCTGATCCATAAAGTAATAGCTTTCAATCTTTCAATATATCAAGTACGTACATGTACACGTTTGAATGAATTACAAAGAATCACTGTGGCATTTAACGTCTACAAAACATACTCTAGCTGCGTAGAGGCAATCCTTACGTTAAGGGAAAAATTTGGGTGGGTGAAAGGACCCTGACCGTTCAGAAAGCGTTAGAAGTTTAATTATTCCTTAATTGCGTGGTAACTTTTCGACAGCTTCTTGTAGAGCTAATAATGCTGCATCTTCCCCCTTTTTCAAATAATAACGAAGAAAAGCTAATGTAGTAGCAAATGAAATTCCTCCGGCTATGCCGGTGCCTATAAATGGGATGAATCGAGCATACTCCTCAGCGACGCTACTCACAACGTAACTGGCCAGCAACGCTGTGAGTTTGGCTGTGGTTTCTTTGGTGGCAGAATGCAGTTTTGTAAATTCCTCAGACCATTCCTTTGGAAGACCAAGAGTGGTTCTGTACATGTTGATTTCATCGATAATCAGGTTGGCATCATAGACTGCGGAAACTGCAGGAAGGGGAATCGCTCCGACAACAGCAGATTTAAAAGCAGACTTCCATGTACGTCGTTTTAGGGTTTCAACTTTTCTCCTGATTATTTCAGGTGAAAAGCTCTTCAGAGCCAAGGTCAGACTCTCTTGCTTATATTTGGGCATCGCATCTAAAATGGCTTCAGTGAGTTTAGGGAAATCCCACTCTTTAGGATAATGGTTGCTTATCAGGAATATGTCTTGCTTGCTGCTCAGCAGGTCACCCAGCACTTCTGAACAGCGGCTTCTTGTTTCCTCAAGCATGACATTTTCATCAAATACTTTCTTCCTCATTTTACCGGATTGGACGCTCACGTCAATTTTTGTGCGAATGAAGAAGAAATGTTTGTTAAGTGACCTTTTTATTTCCTCTGCCAAGTGGAGATCGTTGTTAGAGAATCTGGTGCATGTTACGATGAGGAACGCATCGTACGTTTCCAATTGTACTTCCTTGCAGTATGTTTTCAGGTCTGGGTTTTGGATGTCCCCCATTCCTGGTAAATCCCAAAATATTATTTGGGAATTTTTAGGATGTGGGTATGCTGTTGGCACTGTAGTAGTACTTTTTTCTTCTCCAACTTCGGCGGCACCTTCTTCATCATCGAATTCATATCTGGAAAAAAAGTTTAATGAATTTGGACATTCAAAATGTAAGGCTCTGGTTTTATGGAGAAAAGTACGTTGTCCGTGGTAGAAGAGTGACCCGCCTACCCGAGCTACCCTGGGCGAGCCAACGTTTCATGTATTTCCTGGCAAAACGTTTACATGAGAAAAAATAGTCGCCTGATAGGACATGTGCTTACTGGCTATGAGTAGTCTGTACTCCAGTGACCATAAAAAAAAAAAAGAAGAAGAAAAGAATGCTATTAAATTCGTCGAAGAAAATATGGGTGATGCTCGGTATGGAACCTGGTACCTCTATACTGGATCATTATGTTCAACGTTAACGTTTTGGGCTTCGAGGACATGGAGAAAATATGAATTAATTAAAAGTTTTTCCACTCAGTGTACCTTTCAATATACTTTTGTCGTCTATTGCCTATATTTACATCTTTCTAAAATAAAGTAAATTCGCTGAGAGTTTTTAAAAGCTACGAGAACAATTTGGATATGGAGAAAAAACACCAACACTTTATACCTCTGGGCCGGATAATAGTACACTCTGTGTGAATGAAAATTACAAGGTGAGTGAATTGTTGGGTAGTCGGCGGGACCCACCCACCCACCAGCAATGTAACTCGTCTTTTGAGTGCTTTACATGGAGCCAACAATTCAGATTTATTAAGGGGAACCGTCTGGAATGTCAGCCTCAGTGTTTCAAGTGCACAGACGTTATACGCAAATTTGAGACAAAGTGTGCGTCAATAACTTTCGAGAATTCTGCCAATCCCTGGAGTGTTTATTATCAGGATATGCAAAGACAATAAAATTTGTTTTTATTTCTTTTGCTAAACGAAATAACTTCGAACTTAACTAGACGGTCTCGTTACGGCTTTATCAGAACGGCCAGGTAGAAAATATATTAACGTTATATTCCCTATGAGGAACAACATTTATGTTAACGTCTCTATTTGAAAGCCGTAATCAAGAGTCCATTGTTTTGACTTTTTTTTTGCTGACCAGAAAAACGAAACTCTTTGATAGTAGCGCTGATTCAAAGTGGGATTCTTACTAGTCGCGAATTGTTGGTAAATTCTGTAACGAATGGAAAGCATGTATAAAAAACTTAAAAAAGATAATACGGCACTCATCCAGCATTTCCAAGAAAAGCTGCTGGGAAGGCTTCTGTTTTCCAGGAAAGCAGGAAAACGGCCATTGCCACTGAAGCTGAAAACAATTTCAACCCGATAAGAGACCAATGTAGGTTTTAAAAGATGCCTCTTGCGCGTGCATGACACCATTCACAAAATAGATCTTGTCACGGTTTTCGACGGCGTCTTGACGAGTAGGCAAACGCGTGAGAAATTACAGTGATTGTATGAGAATCTAATGTCGAATAATTTCCTTAGAACTGCTGTTCTGAAAAAAATATGATTTGTAAACTAAAGCTTCACTCCTAAGGATTCTCCTGAAAAAATTTCAGGGCGTTACATGCACTAGAAGACCTAGAACCACTTTTTAAAATTTTCTATACATTTGTCTGTAAGCAAGTCCCGGGAAAATTACAGACAAATATATGGAAAATCTAAACAAACCTCTGGAGAAATTTAAGCGCAGGTACGCCCCAAATTTTTTTAGGACAATCCTTTGTTTTGCAGCTTTAGTTTACAATCGATATTTTGTTCAGAACAGCCGTTTTATGGAAATTATTCGACATTAGATTCTTGTACAAACACTGTAATTTCTCACGCGTTTGCCTACTCGTCAAGATGGCGTCGAAAACCGTGACAAGGTCTCTGCTGCCATGTCTGAGCGTACTCGACTCTTTCCTGTTAGCCGCGAGGGCAACTCCTACCAATTCCTCCTTAGAGGAATACCTCAAATGTTGAAATGACACATATTAACCAAATTTAATCAAACCCCTTCAATCGCGCCGAAATAACGATCCTTTCAACCTCGTTCCCAGGGTTCTCCCAGGGGGCGGGTAGGAGAGAACCCTGGGAACGAGGTAGCGATCCTTTTGTTTGAACGAAAGCCTTTTTCGGTTAGTTTTTGGTGTCGGCGTAAGAGCTAAGTGTCTTTATAGGAAATTGTTCGTTTGGATTAGCTCGGTCTTGATAATTCCGTCTTCCGATCATTGATAGATTCGTACGCGTTTCTTTCTACTGATCTTGAAACTTTAATAGATCCGCTCTCTTCCAGTTTAAGACGAGATTTGACCTGTGATGCTCAATAAAAAAATATCGTTTGATCCATCATTAAACTCTTAGCGCGAACAGGTTGCTGAAAGACCCAGTAATATATTAAGGATGAACGTGGGCCAATACAAAAGGATAATTTTTCTGGTTCTTTATGCCAGGGCCCCCGTTTAGGGGTTTAACGCAGCGGAAATCAAAGCCGGCTTAAGTCTAAGCTTACCCCACCTCAAGGAAGTGCTAGTTGATACCTTTCACTTTCGATATGAGCTTGTGAAAAAACCCGGAAGTGACTAATGACCACTTTAAGAGAAGAAATGGACTGATAATTCACGAATAATGTTCAGGAATGACATCGCGAGACGCTGTACTTATGAAAGAGCTGGCTTGGTGTATATAATAACATTTGCGATTCCTTATTACGCGATCCGCCTTATTGGCACAAAATCAACTTGTCAGGCCTTGTGAATAAGGTACCCATCAAAGAAAGTTAATTAAACTTTTAATTATACCCACCCTCGAACTGTGTTAATGAAGCTGGATTTTCCACTTCCGGAGTTGCCAACAACTGCAATATTTATGTCCACTTGTTTCCATTTTTCCAAAGCGTCTTCTAGGAACTTGTCAATGCCTTCAACGCCATGCTGTTTAACGTAATCGTTAAATTCGGAGAAGGCAGTGTCAATATCGTTGTCGAGGTTTTCGATACCTGCTTTATTTATTTTTTTAAAACTACAAGTTTAAAAGGCGTTTTCCACATCGACACATGCAAGAGGGTCTGAATGGGGGGGTCCACTTGTCGGCTGTCGGTTAAAATTCAGTAATTTTGTCGGTAGCCGGTTAAAATTTTCGTTCTTTGTCGGTAGTCGGTTAAACTTTTCGATTTTCGCCGGTTGTCGGAAAATCTCAGTTAATAAGTAAAAACGCTTGTTAATTATTAATATTTTTTATGTATCTCACCCACTTTTCAAGACTTTGATCCCTAAGGAAAGAGTAAAACTTGCAAGAATGATTCATTTGATTGCGCCTAAACCGTTCATTAACTCTTGTTTTTTATGCAACATGAACGTTTATTTCATCATTGTTTGCCATTAAATGAATAATTAGTACTGATAAAATCACCCAAGCTTTTATTGTAAATGCGAACTTGGTTTCCCTGTCGACAACAGGGCACAGTAAAAAGTAATTAATTAATTACTTACTGGACTCTAGCCTTTTGGATACTTAAATTATTTTTATTGAAAAACTGCAAGGGATGACAGGCTGCACATCTATCCCTCTCATGTTTTGGTTCTAACAAGCATGTCCTTTGCCATAATTTTCCTTTCTCAAAGAAATAGCACTTTAGGTGGTTCTTTAAAATTTTGGCAAGATAGTGGTTGGTTTTGTATGAGATTCCACTTTTTCATTAAAGCTTCTTTTTTATCGACACTAAGGGCTGGCATTGTGTCACGAAAGGCAATATTTCAGTCTTTTTCTTCCTGGTTGTTTTTTTTTCAGGAGCGCTGCAGCCTTCCTTTCCGTGAGTTTTACTTCTAATAGCAATTTTTCTCTCAAAATTGTGTGGCTAGCCTCTGTCCATCAAGCGCTTTTGAAATCTGAAATACTTCCTCAGAGGAGTTTGTTCGTAGGATTCTCGAGGCTTCTCGTTTGTCAAACAGGCGCTTTAACAAATGGTGGGTGATAAGAGGTGAAAATGTATATACTGTAAGGTTTCCGTTTCAAATGCGTCTTTACGTCAAGGGTAGCTTTTTCTCATTTTTTCGCTGAATGTTGTACCTTGGTATACAACCGTTTCTAAAAAGAATGTCTCATTTTCAGATCTTTCGGCCGTGAATTTCATAGGAGGGCATGTAAGTTTACTTGTTCCGCGAAGAAAGCTACGATGTCTGGTTTACTTATGTCCCATAGGGAAAAAATGTCATTTATGTAGCGTTTTCAAACAGTTGGTTTAAAGACGGTTTTGCTTAAACTTTGTGTCTCAAAATGTGCCATGAAAATGTTGGAAAGGAAACTGCTTTCTTTGTGCTCATCACGGTAACGTGGGTTTGTACTGATAGTTCTTTACATTAAACGGGAAAGAATTTTCTTTGAGGATTAATCTAAGCAAAAACGTTCGGTTTTTTCACCTTTGACTTTTCAATAAAATTTATAAAGTCGGTAGCATCTTTAAGGTTTGACTTTGTGATTTTGATATTGGCTGTAGCAATGTACCTGTATCAAAAAAAAGGAAAGTCTTTCCGTTAGGCCATCTGATGAGTCATAAATTTAAAGAGGTTACTTACTTCCTCGAGCTAACGGTTAGATTAAATACAAAATGCTCTTTTTCCTGAAACAAATATTGATAATATCAGCCCATGTCGGTAGTCGGTTAATATTTTTGCTGTCGGTAGTCGGTAATTTTTTACTCATTTTGTCGGTAGTCAGTAATATTTTTCGCCCTTTGTCGCTAGTCAGTTAACCCCATTCACACCCTCATGCAAAGGGCAGCCGGTTTGGTCTATGTAAGCCGTAGTACAGCTTGCCTGCGTGCAGACGTCTCCTATTTCCTTTGTTGCACGCGGAAAAGGGACGTCTGCGTAACGTCGTCGCTAATCGTGTTCCAGCGTCCTGCTGGGTTCCCAAGATCTTGGGAACACGCTGCGATAGGCTGACACACAGTGCGCATTGTTTGACTTAACGCTGATTGGTTGTTATCGAATGTGGTCTGATAATGTATGCGGTGATTTAAATGATTTTATATGTAAGCGGGGTTTTCTAACCAAAACAAATAGAAACATGTGCGATTGTGTGCTGTGTTTTTCGTCGATCGAAAAGCAGAGCGATCGAAATCTTGTGCGGGGACGCGGAAAATTTAACGTGTACGAGGAAATTATTTCTTTACAATTTACTGTGCATGACACATCACATCATATTAGTAAACAGTGTCTGAGAAAACTACAAAAGCGGTGTGGACTTCGTACCAGGCAGGCATTTCGGAGAAAGCCAGCCAAAGAAACTAAAATCTTTATTTAGCCGTAACAAACAGAGGTCAAGAAAATTTAAACACTTTACAACTGCATCTGAAATCAAATCCTATCGGGAACACCCACAGAAGCATAAACCACAGGAAATGATTACTCAGTATGCATGTAACAAACCTGCTTCATGACTTCTAAATGTAAGACTTAGCGCGGCAAAAATGAGATTTACTCAGTCAAAGGTTAGAATGCTACATGCACTGTGTAGTGCTAGTAATCTTAGCGCGAGAGAGAAAAGAAGAAAAACCTCTGTTCAAGCAGACTCTCAAGGTCACGTTTCGCCCGTATCACGAGCTTATGATGTTTTGTTTGGCCTGTCAACTCTTATTTCTAACCGGATATTATTTCACAATTTATGCGAAATAGAATACCCTGACAGCGGGACGCTGGAACACGATTAGCGACGGCGTTACGCAGACGTCCCTTTTCCGCGTGCAACAAAGGAAATAGGAGACGTCTGCACGCAGGCAATAGTACAGCTCGTAATGTAGAAATATGATTGTCGTCCTTTCGATTTCCCATGACGCAGGAGGAAGTTGTAACGTAACAATAACGCTGGTATTGGCGAATGAAAATCCGAGGTGTCTGGTCATCGTGACGTCAAGTACAAGCCGGATTTAAAGGAAGGTAAAAAAATGGCTTCCCGTAAAAAGTTGACGGTCCAAGTAGAGTAACAGTAGAACAAAATGTTGAATTTTTGCCTGTTTAATTGAATTCTAGGTTTCCAGACTTACAGTTGTCTGAAATACAAAAACTAAACACGAGTCACAACGTGCAATCGAGGTGACGACGTGTCTCTGATAATACACAATGACATCAGAATAATTGTTAGTTCAATGCATAAATAAACGGTTTAATAACAATGTCATTTTTCAACACAAAACATTAGAAGAACTGAAGGGAAGCTGTTAGTTTTGTCATATAGAGTATTCATTACGCAATTTTGCTGGACTATCTCACAAATCGCACTGAAAATGTTTGCCAACACACGCGCTTTCCTCTTTGATTGAAATATGAGATAAGGAGTCTCCTCGTTCAAAAGAGAAGCCACATTAGCGCCTTATTCACGGAAACAATTCAAATAAAAATCGTTAACAAGCCATTTTTGAAGATTCTGCTCGTTGAAAGTTTCGCTTTGCTGTGACGACACGATGGCCGTAGACCTCGAACCAGCCGCGCATGAGTTCATCACTCCATGCCATGACACTCCGTTAGGTTATCATGGGTGCTGGCCAAAAGCATTGTGGCTCTGGGAACGCAATAATCCACTTCTGACGCCCTCTCTCTGCGCCACGCGTGACAGAGAGATGTGCGAGAACTGGACTTGGGGCACGAATGAGGTCGTAGTTTTAATACATAAACAAGCATCAATTAGGTATTAATATGACACATTCATGTTGAACATGAACAATTATTGTTAATCGACACGAATTTAGTCCAAAATCGTCCAAAATCAAAGTCGACCTGCCTACCGGAAGTCTAATCTTGAGATGCGAAACGGATGTGGACTCGATTGCTGGAAGTCAGTGTGCGATTATCGGAGGCGAAACGAAGAGTGGAGGCCAAGTATATATTCAAGGTTATACTATTTAATTGTTAAAGGAGATTACATGAGCAAGGCCTAAGGTCAACTGAACTATTGTACAATCATATCAGGATGTGCCTGTAGAAATCTCGCTTCACAGTTGCCACCCGCACATGTCGTCGGGAAGGATTTTCCAACGGAGGTCGATGACCATAAAGAGAAGAACTTAAAACTGGAACCGCCTTGATTTGTTCCTACAAGCAGAGATTTAAATGGGTCATAAGTATATTGCTCCCTATGTGCCTCATGACACTTCTGAACCAGGGCTTAAACATCAACTCTCGTTGGACGTACAAGAACCATTAGCCTGCGTGCAGATGCCCCCTCCCCAATTGTTTTGAGGGAAGGGGGCGTCTGTACATAGACTAGAACCATTTGTGACCAAGAGGGAATAGTAGGACAGAGAGCGAATCTTAGGGCGTTATCTGGGATGTCAGACTTTCACTAAAGTTTTTTTAAGAGGTTGTGATTAAATAGAAGCCTAATTCCTGAGGCGTCCGCACATTTTAATCGATTGATTGAAACGTCATAAAGTCCACGCGCACCTGCCTAAAACAAAAACAATATGGAGGATATTGTGATGGCGACTGTTGAATTCTCTCCTAGCAACACTGAAAAACGTTTGCGAACCTCAATTTCAATCGCTCAACTGGTCTAAAAATAACTTTGGTGACATTCACATATCCCAACGGCTAGACTAGGAGTCTCCCTCTCTGTCCAATTATTCTCTCTTGATGAGATGTAACCCTCTAAGGCAAGGGCCACCCCTAGTGTATATCTTTCATGGGCTGAGGGTTTGGGTAGGGAGGGCACCTCGCTCGGGGCCTATAATTCTCTTTGTGCCCATTCCCATTCTGTGTTAGTCTGTTCCTTGAACCAGGCTGGTATCAAACAAGTGATAAATGAATAAATTGGATACCAGTATGACTTTTGGGAATTTCGAGCTAGTTGCAACCTTAGAACAGTTGAACTCACAAGCAGCTAGCTCTTCTGTTCGTCTCTTGTGAGTTAGTCTCCACACCAACATTCTTTAGAACTAAATCGGAGAGCTTGCACTCACAATTACGCATTTTGCTATCAAGGGTCGATAAGGGACTTCATAAACATACGTTCACTATTTAACATAGACCATGATGCACCTTGTTTACCCCCAAAATTTTGCATAACCGTTATTTTTTCCAATTTTTTTTTTTCTGGGTATTACAGTCGTCCCAAGAGAAATCGAAGACAATGGTTATGCAAAATTTTGGGGGAGGGGTAAACTAGGATCTATGGTCTATGTGAAAATGGTGAATTCACTAAAGTGAACTTAGGTAAATCAGGATACCACAAATGGGTTATAATCCTCTAAGACAGCTTACTTCCTTAGTTCGTACCATAATCTCACCATAGGGAGCCCAAGCACACTATGCATGAAAAGAGATTTGAAAAAGTGGCCTGATCGTCTCCCTCTCAAAGGTATTGTTACGAAACGAATGGCCGATATATTTTTGTGTAGAGTATATTCTAATCCGTTAGCGGTGTTTGTCAATAAAAGCGGTAGAACAGTTCAAAATGAAAGCAAACAAAAACACCCACCTCAGCATTAACATTTAGTCCACGAGTATGTTCTCTGTCGTCACGATGAAGTTTACTGCAGTAACCAGATTTGATATGGAATGTTCGGTCATAGTTTGATACTCTTTCGTGCTTAAAGTTAAAAGAAACAAAACATTGGATCAGTTTTCAATGACGTACTAAAAGTAAAAAAGCCTAAGTGATTACTTTTATTATGCTTTGCAGTTTCTAACTATTCAAGGGCTTAATACTCACCACCGATTCAGTGCCACTTTCTCTGTAGTGACTATGACTTGCTTGAAAGAGTTCCCACGAGTTTGCTGAGAGTTTCATAAATTCTCTTCGAATTTTGATTCACAGGTTCGTTTGATTGTTTATCAATAACTAAACTTTGAGTGGCTACAATCAGTACAATGGCTCCGTTAATCCTTGATAACTGTCTTGCATTAGCTTCAAAGCGTCCGGCAACAACTACCACATCATCTAGATATAATACCTGTTTGTTCGTGTTAAAGTAGTTTTGCACCGCTACGTCGGAAGAAAAATGCCTTGAAAAATTAGTTTTCCAAGCTTTAGTCAATTCTTCACTGCAGCTCGACGTAATGAGGTGAGCATCTCTTAGGCGGCTTTCTCTCTGAAACAAATTGAAGCAGTTGAAAGTTGAAAGGACCCCAACTGTGTTGTTTAGGTCAGTGGCAAAACTAAACATACATCACATCAAGGGTACAAAGATCATTAAGTGTAGCGGGTAAAAACTTACAGCAAATCTTAGAGACGAAAAGTTTGCAATGAATCAGGAATGAAAGTTAAACCCAGTTCGATTTGCTAAAGGAACGTGGGAAACAAAGTAAGCCACACATTAGCTTATCGGTTTTATAACTGTTTCAAGCTGCGATGAGTTTAAAAAATCTCTAAACTTTCCTGCTTGCTTGAACCAGAAAGGAACCATCCATTTTGCGGTATCTTTTAGTTCTTGCAATTAAGCGTTGATATTTACTTAACTATAACAAAAGAGATCACGTCAAACAGTTTAAACGGTTTAGTTCAGAAAGAGAAATTCACCAGTACCTTCATACTCTCTCTCCATTGTTCCTTAATTTGTTCTGGCGTATAGGTTTTAAGACCATAGTTTGACATAAGCCGTCCTCTCATTTGTCTTTCTTGTGCTGTTTCTTCCATAGTGTCCTAATGCTAAACGTACAAGGTTAGTTTCGGTTTACGTTCTCAGCGTTTGTGACGTATGTAAGGTGACGACGAAGGTCGCGCGCGCAGCGACACCAGACTTTCTACTGTTCTGTACCTTTGGAAAATATCTGGCGCACTAGCTCATCCATACAGGGCACCAATGAGATTATTATCTCAAGAGGGCGGGCGCCCAATAAACCATGCTTAAAAAAACTGTTGCCAAACCATTAGAAATTACTTTGGAAGAGTCAGTTTAAGTCAGTTTTGATATGTTCGTGTCGTTAAATCAACATTGAGCCGATCAACAGCATTATGCGGAAGAAAATTGATTTGCGAACTTAAAAGAAAGCTCTTGGGTGTGATTTTTGAAAATATTTAGGAATCGGGAAAGAAAAACACTTGCATTATAGTTTCTTATGAAATTTCTGATCACACCATTTCCCTGGATGCCTACAGTTTGACTTACGAAGCAAATCCTGACCAAGAGGGAAAGGGAAAAAGTGTTACGGACTAAAATTAAAGAAAATTATTAAAAGCAACTAATTAACTAAGAATCCTAGTCAAATCAATGGTAAGGAGATAAATATTAAACAATAAATAATTTCAGTTTGTAGGCCTCTGTATTGCCGCCCAAAATAATCCTAGCTACCCTGATTGGTCTTCGTTATGTTCATATTTTTCCCCAAACCCAGTAGTTAATTAGCCAACTTTTAAGGGCTTTTTCTTTAAATTTTTGATAGATTTTTAACTTCTTTTAAATTTTTCTATTCGTCGTGTCTGTCTTATTTCAGAGTAAAGCTTTTAGATATATATTTATTTTTAACTTATTTTTTATTCAATTGAAAAATCCGAGAACTCCCTTTTTCCTGCAAAAGCATGTGTTTGTTTTGAAGTCTTTCTTTCTCTAAATTTTGGATCCCAAATGATGAAAGGCAAAAGCCAGGGAAAAGCTCTTCCAGTAATTTGCAAGAAATTCCGGCAGATATAGATAGCAGGTAGAATTTGGGATGCCTGTGGTCAATTACAAACGTGGGGGACTAAAACCCAGACTAGAATCCAATATGGCGGCCGAAGCAGTACCTCAGCCTGCGAAGAAAACCTTGTCAAAAAATCTCATGGCAATGAAGGTAAGCGTAATTTTACTTACCTTGATACCTTAAAGAGCTAAATTTTAATCCTCTACTCAATTAATTTCCTTTGTATTGGATTACTTTAGTTCATGAAAAGAAAAGCAGAGTCTGATTACCGGCGGCAGCTTGAAGAAGAGCGGCAACGTGCCATCGAGGAATCACACTGGGTAGTGGAAGGACAAGAAAATGAGGACAGGTAAGGCACTGGAAGAAGTAGAAGTGCGCAAGGTTTCTATGAATTTTCATTTTTGTAGGTATTTTGTTCTCCTGATCGACTTGAATCCTTTGAAGATTTCGACTTAGCATAAGCTAATACTTAGCACGCGCGTGTACAGTAAGCTTATGTTGTCCTTGGTCTGCGACTTTGTTCGAATGTGATGAAATATTTCGTGGAGAAATAAAATACTGAAAAAGAAATGTGTCGAATGATTTATTGATTAGTCTTCTTTCGTGTGACGAAGTTTCGGCTTTCCTGCTGTTGGTGAAGGCGCTAAATTCAAGTTTGTCAGGTATGTCAATTTTGAGGTTTGTACTTTTGTGGCACTGAATTACGCCACTGTAAATTACATGGTCATGTTTACTTGCCTTGTGAATAAATAAAACGCAACAGGAAGACGTGCCTTTCTGCAGAACAGGTTTTCATAGAAACCTATTTCTGCTGTTGGAAGCACATGTGCTGCAGACTTGGAATTTTTTTTTATCGATCGACTCTTGAAAAATATTACCAAATTTCGCGTAGTGGTCCTTGGTCCAGGACTCGTGGAATCACATTTCACAAAATAAATGAAACCTTTTGGAGAGGGCCTTTGTTTTCGAAGAATGTTTTCAAAATCTTCCTTATACATGTACATCTTTACAAGTTCTCTTTTTTAAAATATTTTTAATGCATACAGAGTTTCTAGTAATTATTTTTGACTGCGCTGAGTATTGGCTTATTACGGTGACCCAGAAGGGTCACACATGCAAATTAAAATTGTTGCTGCAAACTAAAAATTTTACCTGCAAATTAAAAATGTTGCTGCAAATTAAAAATTGGACATGCAAATTAAAAATTGTACATCCAAACTAAAAATATTACAAACATGAAACATGAATGGGCCGACGGCTGTAAGGCCAGGTTGCACGGCCTGGACCAGGTTCTCATCACTCATACTGTGCGCGTAGGACTTTTCATTTTTAATTTGCATCGATATGTTTTCTATTTTCAATTTGCAGCACAAGTTTTGGTTTGCATGTACTATATTTTATTTGCAGGTAATATATTTAGTTTGCATGTACAATTTTTAATGTGCATGTACTATTTTTAATTTGCAGCAACATTTTTAATTTGCATGTATGACCCTTCTGGGCCACCGTAGCTTATAGCATAATTGTATCAAGAATTAAAGAAAAGACGTGAAATGTTGTGAAAATTTCGTTTTCATATGTAAACTATGGAATTCTCATCTTCTTTTCATCCTGTGTACATGAGTCACGGACCAAGGATCGCACTGGCGGACCAAGAACCATTGAGCATAGTCATGTCTTTTCGAATTACGAGCAAAATATTTAAGTTTGAAACTTGAAACTTCACGATTATCGTGGGGGTAGCCTGTTCCAGGCGTTCAGATAGTGGGGAGCGGTGCGAAGTAAAAAGGAGCGCGAAAAAATAAAAGCGAGGGAGGAGGAGAGGTGAGAGAGGGAACGCCTGTTAGAATTATACTATTTAATTGTTAAAGGAGATTACATGAGCAAGGCCTAAGGTCAACTGAACTATTGTACAATCATATCAGGATATATAAGTCGAGCGCGGTTGCTAAGTAAGAGGATTAAGGGCTAATCCCACAGTCAGGACGCTGGAATGCTGCTGAATATTATCTTGACGGGTCGCATCGGATGGTGATGGGTCGTACGACATGGCATTCCTAAGAACGACCTGACTTCTAGCCACTTTTTAGTATCAGGGCCCGTGCAAGGGGGTGGGGCCAGAGGGCCTTGCTCCGCTTAGATATTTGACCAGGGTTCTGGTCTTCACCCTTGTCCACAATAGCTAATAATAGCGTAGAATAATGATTGTCAGGAGCTGTGATTCTATAGATGAAACTGGAAAAGATGCAATAATTATGAAAAAATAACAATTATTGGATGAGGTTTTTGTGATATCCGGAATAATCAAGGTCGAGGTAAGTGTTATCAGTCGAGCCAAAGGCCGAGGCTGATAAAGGTAACCGAGCTCTTGATTATTTAGGATATTAAAAAAACCGAATCTAATAATTGTTTTATTATCCATTGTTTGAAGTTCCAAAATATGTAAGGACAAACACACCGTCGCAAGGAGCCGAATTGACAATGCTTTTGGAAATCACGCAATGCGCGCGCAACCTACAGATTAGGTAGTATTCTGCTTGCAGATAACTAAATAAATCTGTAGCTTACACCGATTTCCCAAATTAAATGTAGGCTCTTAGCCAATGAGAAGAAAGATAATGGGTACTTTAATAACAATGTATAATAATTGTATGATACGGTAGAAGTGTGTTTTCTTTTCCCAGCAGTATTTGTTCAGCGATTTTTCGCACCTGTAAAATAGTTACAGTGGATTTCATGAAACGTCTTTGAGTGAGAGTGAATTGACAAAAACCAAGAGAGCATAAAAAAACCTTTTTAATTATGTTCCCTTGCAAGAACATATATAGAGCTGGGGTGATTAAAGTTTTCATTACATGTGCCCTTTGAAACCGCTGCAAAAAGATTGGAAAATGCCATAAAATTTAGACTGAAATCGCCTTAAAAAGAAGCGACTTAAAAAAAATTAAGCTATAAAAAATTACGCTAAAACTTTTCTTAAAAAAAATTGAAAGAAAGTTTTAAAAACGTTAAAAAATACGACCACGTTTCGACGTTCGCGGACGTCATCATCAGGTAAAAAAAGGGTATGAATGTTCATCTATAACATACAAGAAAAATAATAAGTCATTGAAGAAGAAAAGTAACATGTAAAACTTTGTTACAAGTTAAACCAAGAGCCGCTTCGCACTATTATGGAGTCACTTTGAGTATTAAGACCAGGCCTAAGTTGTTTGACGAATAACATTTGTAAATGAGGCAGTCAAATTCGGAAGAGTTTTGTCAGCGTGAGCTTCTATAAATTTTTTAAAAAATAATGTGTAAAATCGCCGCTAGATTAATTTCAGCGAAAAGGCGAGAACTTTTAGCAGTTCCCTCACGTTTGGGAAGAAGATGTTGTCCGTGTGTTTCGCTATTATAGTGAGGAGACCGAGATGGATTCATAATCCGACGCTTCCTGTCGCTTCCAGTGGTTCATCCATCGTAGCGTTTCACTTTCGAAAGATGACGGCACCAGATGGCCCTGCTTCTCATACAGTATTTGAGCAAGTTCTACTGTGGCTTCTTCAGACTTAAAGGGTGATTATTTGAGGAATAAGAGCACAGGGCTTATAATGTTCCCTTTTTCCTCGCTGAAGAGACTTTTGAGTTCTGAGCAGATTACCGTCCGATTCCATTGCTGTACAGCTGACGCTTCTGGGTATTTTTCTTGATTTCTTTGTCTACCGCAAACACGTGGACGTTCTTTAGCCCCTCCTACCTGTGCTGATAGACTAACAGCGCTCTAAGTGGTACATGCGTTGAAACCACGAGTCAATCACATTGCATATCTCTGTTGTATGTATAGGACTTGAAAACTTTTTGAGTTTTCTGGAAATCAAACTATACCTCTACAAGCCTTCTGTGGTATATGGAGAGCGGTGACGAGTGGTCGCATCGGCTCCAGAATTTCTTTAGCACAAACAAAGCTGAAAATATGTTGAAAGCTTATCATACTGTTTCGCAGTCCATTTGCTATCGCCTTAGTTTTGGCATCCC